TAAGTAAAAGATGTTCGAAAGGCTTCTATCGCTTAGTTATACATAAGAGAACTTGAATTTAGGCGTTATGGTAAGCTTTTGTATATCCGGGTTGTCCGAACAGACTTTAATGAGGGTTGAGTGTAAGGCTTAAGGCGGCCATTTGCAATGGTACACCATGTTGTCAAGAGACGGATAATTTGAATTGCCTTTAGTGTTACTTGATTCTAACGTTAATTTAAACATGAATAAAAGCGTAGAATGGTGAAGTAAACATTTGAAAAATTATTTCGCGTGTTGGGTGTGGGACACGTGTCGACTCGCTTCAAACGGCGAGAATCGACGTTTGAGCGGTGGGAACGTCGCGGGCGCTCGGATCCGGCGGTTCGCGCTTCGCACGTCGAGATTCGACGTTTGAATGGTGAAACGCCGCGAACGCAAGGATACGACGTTTCCGAGCTCGGGTCGACGTTGAGCGGTGGGAACGTCGCGGGCGCTCGGATCCGGCGGTTCGCGCTTCGCACGTCGAGATTCGACGTTTGAATGGTGAAACGCCGCGAACGCAAGGATACGACGTTTCCGCTTCAAACGGCGAGAATCGACGTTGAGCGGTGGAACGTCGCGGGCGCTCGGATCCGGCGTTCGCGCTTCGCACGTCGAGATTCGACGTTTGAATGGGAAACGCCGCGAACGCAAGGATACGACGTTTCCGAGCTTCAAACGGCGAGAATCGACGTTTGAGCGGTGGGAACGTCGCGGCGCTCGGATCCGGCGGTCCGCGCTTCGCACGTCGAGATTCGACGTTTGAATGGTGAAACGCCGCGAACGCAAGGATACGACGTTTCCGAGCTTCAAACGGCGAGAATCGACGTTTGAGCGGTGGGAACGTCGCGGGCGCTCGGATCCGGCGGTTCGCGCTTCGCACGTCGAGATTCGACGTTTGAATGGTAGAAACGCCGCGAACGCAAGGATACGACGTTTCCGAGCTTCAAACGGCGAGAATCGACGTTTGAGCGGTGGGAACGTCGCGGGCGCTCGGATCCGGCGGTTCCCGCTTCGCACGTCGAGATTCGACGTTTGAATGGTGGAAACGCCGCGAACGCAAGGATACGACGTTTCCGAGCTTCAAACGGCGAGAATCGACGTTTGAGCGGTGGGAACGTCGCGGGCGCTCGGATCCGGCGGTTCCGCGCTTCGCACGTCGAGATTCGACGTTTGAATGGTGGAAACGCCGCGAACGCAAGGATACGACGTTTCCGAGCTTCAAACGGCGAGAATCGACGTTTGAGCGGTGGGAACGTCGCGGGCGCTCGGATCCGGCGGTTCCGCGCTTCGCACGTCGAGATTCGACGTTTGAATGGTGGAAACGCCGCGAACGCAAGGATACGACGATTTCCGAGACTTCAAACGTGTGCCTTGTCGACTCAGTTTGAGCGGTGGGAACGTCGCGGGCGCTCGGATCCGGCGGTTCCGCGCTTCGCACGTCGAGATTCGACGTTTGAATGGTGGAAACGCCGCGAACGCAAGGATACGACGTTTCCCGACGCTTCAAACGGCGAGAATCGACCGTTTGTAGCGGTGGGAACGGTAAGCGGGCGGCTCGGATCTGGCGGTTCCGCGCTTCGCACGTCGAGATTCGACGTTTGAATGGTGGAAACGCCGCGAACGCAAGGATACCGACGTTTCCCGAGCTTCAACGGTCGAGAATCGACGTTTGAGCGGTGGGAACGTCGCGGGCGCTCGGATCCGGCGGTTCCGCGCTTCGCACGTCGAGATTCGACGTTTGAATGGTAGAAACGCCGCGAACGCAAGGATACCGACGTTTCCCCGAGCTTCAACGGTCGAGAATCGACGTTTGAGCGGTGGGAACGTCGCGGGCGCTCGGATCCGGCGGTTCCGCGCTTCGCACGTCGAGATTCGACGTTTGAATGGTGGAAACGCCGCGAACGCAAGGATACGACGTTTCCGAGCTTCAAACGGCGAGAATCGACGTTTGAGCGGTGGGAACGTCGCGGGCGCTCGGATCCGGCGGTTCGCGCTTCGCACGTCGAGATTCGACGTTTGAATGGTGAAACGCCGCGAACGCAAGGATACGACGTTTCCGAGCTTCAAACGGCGTTTGAGCGGTGGAACGCGCGGCGCTCGGATCGGGTCGCCTTGCACGTCGAGATTCGACGTTTGAATGGTGAAACGCCGCGAACGCAAGGATACGACGTTTCCGCTTCAACGGCGAGAATCGACGTTGAGCGGCGCGCGGGTGCACTCGAGATTCGACGTTTGAATGGGAAACGCCGCGAACGCAAGGATACGACGTTTCCCTACGCAGACGGAGGTGACGCACAGGAAAGGCACACAGGGGATA